TTTTACTCAACGTGCTAGTGAAATCCATAACCTCATATAACCTTTGTATCTCAGCCTACAGGGACCTTAATCAAAAATGAGCCAGGAGTATTATATTACCTGTAACTACCTAAACATTCTTTCCTAGGAAGTGTTGTCCAACAAAAACCATAGCAGCAAGCATTGTTACCACAAGAATGGCTTCTGCTTTCTTGTTATTGCCAACATCTGTGGAAAAACAGTGCGCTTTGACAGGATGAAAAATGAAACTTTTTCCCCTCAGTTTTGTGATTTTATTGTTATTGTGTGCAGATTAATGATCTCATCAGTCATAGATTGCCTGTACAGTCATATGATGTGCAGTCCTTTATTCGTAAAGACGTTCATCATTGAGTTTTTGTTGTGTTGAACATTAACTACTAAAACAAATTAAGTGCAACATTTGATGAATATGTTACCTGTTGACTTGGACCAGTGATACAATTGTATGTAGATTAGCACAGGCGAGTGTTTGGATGACTGACCTGCATTACTAGTGTTAAGATATATAGATACAGAGTGTATTTGTTTTAGTGCTTTGGCTTTGCATTACATCATCAATCAGTGTAAGCAGATTTTCATAATGCAACTTAATTTTAGTTCCAATTAAGTTCCTTATTTCCTAGTTACTTAATGTTATAAAATAATTAACTCACTGGCTTGTGAGTGAGTTGTCATCATATATTTATTATTTCCCATGATCACCCATCCTACTACATTTTAGACCTAACCTCACCAATCCTACCTCTCATAAACATTTCTCCTAAAAATGTTATGCTTAAGATCATTATTTATATTTTTTAGGTTCACCATCTGTTTTGGTACCATCCATTAATTTGTCATTGATACTGTAGACATAAATATATTTATAAAGTTGACAGTTTAGCAAGGAACTGTAGCAGGAAATAGATTTGTACTACCATTGGGCGATACTAATTCTGCAATCATTAACATTCTTCATTTTCCTACTACAAATGAAAGTGACACAATATTGTAGAAGTAAAAATGCAAACCAGTTAGTAAAAAGTATGGTTAATGTTCAATGGCGAGTCACTCGAGTGATTCTATACAATTCACTGACTACAAGTTATTTGAGCCACTTGCCCACGTCAATGCTGTATTCACATTTATTTCTTAAACCTATTGCACTGTCTAATTAACATCTGAGAACAGGAGCAGGAATAATGAACAGACAAAAAACAGGGTAGTGTGTAATTAAATTCCCTTCAATATTCATCTGTATTATCTCATTTTGGCCCAACAGGACCCATGATTAATGCCTAATTGACACATACTTTAATTAAAGCAAGTGGAGAACTGGCAATGTTTCTCCATTCAAAGGAAACATTATGAATAAGAAACCAGCTCCTTTCCACATCAGCTCAGCAGATGAATAGAATCTGTTCAATTCCTGTTTCACATGGAGTGATTCAAAGCCAATCACTTGTATTGTACATCTACAGGACCAAACATTTTTCAGAATTTCACCAAGGTCTAAATTTGCTTCATTTATATAGCATTTTAGAGATCCAGGATTTGGCAAATTGTTGAGTTCAATCTTAATTTAAGTCGGGTTTCTGTGGTTATCAAAAGAAAATTACAGAAAAGCTTATTCAAACTTAATATTATAGAAACAGTCGTGGTGCGTTCTGCTGCTATTGTTTCCATCTCAAAACATCTTTAGATCTGTACACAGTTGTTTTAAGATCACTGATCATGATCGGTGGTAATACCTACCTTAAAGTCTGAGCAAGGGTGGAACAGGTAGACGTTAAACATCAAACATTGCTCTATAGCCTGTGTTGGGCAAGCTCTTCAACCACCCAGCCTGCTCAGAGCTAAAAGATCATTCCCTGCTTGTGTTCGGAGGGACTGGCTGATGCCATCTCTTTCGTTGGTGTGTATCACCTCCAGCTGCCCTGGTTGCATTGTTGGCTTGCCAGCTATGCAAAACTGAGTCAGTGACAAACTGATAATTTACACAAGGCATTAGATGAAAATTCAATATTTCCTGTTGGAAGTGGGTTTCCTTAACTTCTGCATGGACTAATTTGATCACTGTGATAGTGGTAGGCAACTATGCTCCATCTCCAGACAGTCTAACAGGGGTAATATTTGCAGACATTGGAAACATAATCCATTTCTCCAGCAGTCATCAAATAAAGGTGCAACAATTAAATGGAATGAATAACAATAAGAGGTGAAAAATATATTTGACATTGATTGGTGTTGTTACTGTAATACAGTGATGCTGTAAAAATAATAAAATAATCCTTGCTTTTGATATAGTTCCAATTATGTTAAAAACTTCTCAAAGCACCTGCCAAAGTTTCTGTAAAGTGTGGTGACTGTATTAGTAAGCAAATACAAAAGCCAGTCTGCACACATTGTCCCACAAACAGACAAAAATTAAAGACTAATATATCTGGGGAATTGTTGGCCAAGACACAAAGAGAACTCATCTTCTCTCTTCGAATTGGATGTAATAGGATCTTTAATATCCACATGAACAGTCAAACAGGAACTTGGTTTAATATTTGATCTGAAGGATGGCACCTTTGACAATACAGTGCTTCCCAGCACCAGAGAGTCAGTCTGGACTATGAGTTCAAACTTATGTGTGGATCTTCAACCCACAACTTGTTAACCCCAAATATACCAAGTTGAGACCTAAGCTATATTGCTTAAATACAGCTCATGTAACAATGCTTCTGAATTTCCTTCCTGAATTACTAGAGTCAGATCTCAAGGGCATTATTCATTTAGTTTTCAATAGCTGAAGTTGAAAGTAAGAAATGCAGGTTTCCCTATTTTTGAGCTTTGAGTTCCGTTTCCTTTAAACACAGAGGGAGTCAACAGATATATTGGCACACAAAGGCTCCACCGTTTCAAGTGATTAATCTGAGCTGAAGAAAAGTTAACAAAATCTACCTAATGACTATATTTTTAAAAAGTCAGATTTTTAACAAGTAAACGTTTGTGCCCTGTTTTGTTTTAAAAAATGAAATAATGAAAAGGACGCTTTTTTTAGCATGTTTGGAAATGCTCATTTCATTTCAAAGTTCAAAGCAGCCCTTTTATCTGTTTGTCAATTATACCGAGTCCTCTAGATAAAAAAGTTAAGTGATTTGTTTTGATCTTTCATTCAGAATTTATTATAAAACTGCATTAGTATGCACATTATTTAAAAATTAACTGTTGTATCCTTGTCCCTTTATTTATAAATGCTACTGTGTCTTAAAGTCAACAGAAATGGGAAAGGGGAATAGAAATGGTGGAGGGTCGTGTGGAGTTTAAACACCAGCATAGACTAGTCAGGTTGAATGGTCTGTTGCCATGCTGTATCATTCTATTTACAGTAATTTTATGTAAAAGGAATGAAACATCTTGTGCATCAAGGGAGAAAATTGAATGAGCGGGAATTAAAACCTAAGCTTCACTCTTATAAATTCATGATTCTATCAGAACCCATTGAGTTAATTATTTCTTTGCGTCTCACCAACAGCTAGCTATTAACTAATGTGCATAATCCTTCTGCATTTACCATGTGAAAATGTACTTGAGAAAGTAAAATCAAACAGTGAATTCAATATAAGTCTTGACTTTGGACCAAAGGTTTTTTTCCAAGTCCAAATAGATGTACGCCAGGTAAATTAATTTCCTGACCGAATCAAAGAACCAAAATAAATTGATGTTTTCTTATTTGAGTTCCAGTAATAATTAAAGTCTCATCACTTAAATAACTGTGGGATGCATCCTTTATATTACTTTTTTAAAATGTTCACTGCAGCTGTTACATCCGTGTTTTAAAGTGACAGATTCTGATCCTTATGTAACTACAGCATTAAGAACCTCTGGTCTGTTAGTAATTGTACCGGATTATCCCTAGGTGACAGCACTCCCTGGCAGGTCTCAATTCAGCTAGAAAATAATTTCTAGAATTTCTAGGCCTCTCACAAATTTTCCATTATTTGTGTGTTTAAATTTGGGTATTTTTATGAATGTATTTAGTGTTAACATTTTTATTTAAAACATACTATATGACAGTGTTGCTCTTAATGCATCTGCTTGATCACAATTAAATGTTGTGTCATCAGGGCAACATTTTCACAGTCTCATCAACCATTGTCCACTGAAAAGAAGCAAGAAGCAGCTCATAGAGCCCTGACTACCCAGTGTGGTGTACAAGGTGCAGTTGGCTCCACACAGGATAGTTGTGGCTATTGAGTTGCTGACATAAAATAACTGTTGCTAAAGGACAGAAGGAAAGTAACAAGTACATGTGAAAAACCAAAGAAATGTTGTGCTAATATTTTGGTGTAACTCCGAGAGTAATATTACATTTCATTTGTGTAGAGACTTCTTCAATGTATAGATCAGTGGCATGATTGTTTGCTGGTTTTAGTGTAATGGTCAATCCTTGTGACTGGCACTTGTGTGACAAAAGGCTGCTGCTGGCAAAATCAAAAAAAATTTAAAAAGAGAAAGGTAATTCATTAAGAAACTCATTAAGACATACTGCAAAATTAAATCCTTTACTTCACAGAATCTATGGAAATTCAATGCAGGTATCTGTTAACCTGATCGTACACTTCAGTTTGCATCCTACAGATGCAGCTTGAAATAATGAGGGAATGGAAAGATATCAAAAAGAAGAGACTCGTGTGATCTTTCTTAGAAAAACTGGCACTAATTAGGAAGTAAAGAATACGCCATCAAATCTAGTGGAAATGAAATGATTAGATACTCAAAAATATTAATACCTCAAATAAATGCAACCATATGAACGTCCCTTTTATATTATGATACATTCTGGCTCATTTAATTTCAACTCTGTAATACATTTCATCTCTTCAAAGCTTCATTATTGTGTACCTTCACTGATATATGCCCTTGTGTTGGTTGTAAACTGCTGCTCATTTTGTGAAACAAACAGCCCCACAAGTAGTCATAACTTGTAGTTCATCTCTCTTTTCACTTACCCCTGAAGAGCCTTTTCTCCAAACCAATCTCCCTTTTCTAAAGTCCGAAGGAAGGTTGTTTCTTCATTTGCTGTACCCTCCCGGGTTACATTGACCTGCCAGCAAAACAGTCAAAATTAGGCACTTACAATTGCATAAGGAATCAATAACTGTTCCTAACCTTAAAATCCCTAAAGTAATGGAAATGTTGCTTTTTTAAAAAAATGTCTCCTCTGGTCTTTTCTTTATATATACCTCAATCTCTTCACCCCCCATTGTCCTACTGGCACAACCAAGAGTGCTAGAGATCTCATGTACATGTTTGTAAACAAAATACTGATTTATTTGCCAATAGTTTTGTGTTGTAACTAGGGAGTATTTAAAACTCAAGCCAGTTGTGCTCATCTTTGAAGCCAAAGCAACATATCTAACCAAACCAGCAGAGCAAAAGGTTTGGTTAGATAATAATCTTGCATTTAATGTTGCAATCGTAAATTGAAATAGATTTGATTTGCTCTGCCCTCCAAATACAAAAAGCCAAACATTTGTGTTAAGGAATTATTAACTAACAGTTCTCTATTGGGTGAAGATTTTGATTTTAGTGAAGGTGTGTGCAAAATGTTGTTGAATAATATCCTTGTAAAATATAGATAATAATAAATAATAATAATAATCCTTGAATTTGATATAGTGCTTTTCACGTCTTCTAGACGTGAACTCAAAGCATTTCACAGAATATACTGCAAAGTGAATTGACTGTATAACTGTGGGCGAAATTGGTAAAAGTTAGATTCATTATTTTTAACATTATTTTAACATTTCCCCTCAGTGGTGTAAAATCAAATCCTGCATCACATGCTATTGTGAAGGTCTTTGTTATTTGCTTTAAACTGTACCATTTGTAACAATAATTTTATTGCTTACAATGTTATTAATTTCACATAAGCACAACTGCATGGGTGTCACAAATGATAAATGTGTCACTTATCCATATCTGCCAAACAACAGAGCTGTCAGATATTATTTTTAAAGCTATGCTTCATACTTGCAAAAAGGCCAAGATATTCTTGCTAAGAATAGAAAATGCCTCTGGGATGCATTTCATCGTAAAGACTGGGAACTACATAGAATTAAATATTCTAAATGAATTCCTATTGTAACGAGGATAAGAAAGAGCAGCAATTTCAGTATAAACTCCTAAATGTCTGCATGTAACAGACTTCAAAAGCACAAAACGCTATCTAGTCTTGGCTTGTAAGACCATTTTGTCTTAAAATTTAGGATCTTGCAGAATTATGCAGAAAATTATTGAATTGAAGTGCTCTGAGATGTTAACCAACGCTATGTAAATGATAGTTGTTAGAATATTTTTTTTACAACCCTAGAATTTTTTTAAAAATTAGGACTGAATTCTGAATTTTCCTTAACTCTATGCAATCTTAAATAACTGATTTCAACAGGAAAGATATTTATTATGCTTGAGATAAAAAGTGTGAAAAGCCTTAACGAACGACTCAATGCTTGTCCTTGACTTGTTGTCAAGTGAGAGTTAGTTTTTTTTTAAGCTCAAGTTTGAAACGTTCATTCTGCAACAGTATTATATTCAGTTATGAAGTACAGCTGGCTTGGATGTTTGGCAGTGATCCTTACTGTAGTCCCTAATTCCATTACTCAGTAAAATTTTCAAAGAAGGAACTCAGCAATAGCTTACCCTTCCTTTGCTAATAATGAAGAAAGTGTCTCCTCGAGCTCCCTGTCTAATTATGTACTCTCCATTTTCATAATGCGTCTGTGAAGAAAAAACAAAACCATTAGTGCCACAACCCATCCTGTGAAATCTACAATCTCAGTTTTGGATAACCAGTAATTGAAATGCATTTTGCAAGCGAGAGACCTGAGTTCAATTCCAGGCAGGGCGAAACCTTGGGCAAGTTTCCTCACTCCACACGCCTAATAATAATCCCTCCAAAAAAACAAAACAATAATAAAATTGGTCATTTTCAATCGACGACTGTTTGTGGGACATTGCTGTGCACAATTGGCAGCCGCATTCGACCACAAATATACAGTCAATTCACTTTACAGTGTGTTCTGTGAAGCGCTTTGGGACGTCCTCCCGACGTGAAAAGCGCTATATCAAATGCAAGGATCATTATTATTATTATTATTATTATTATTATTATTATTATTTCAACCAGCCATAAAATCTGCTTGTGCAAGAAACGCACAATTTGCCAAGATAATTAGACTAGTTACTTTAACTCGAATTAGTATTACTATTGTGAAATAATACAATTTCAATGTAAATGGACATGAATTTCAAATAACAATCACACTGATATATAAATAATGGGGTAAAACATATAGTGCTGTAGTTTCTTAACTCATTCCTGTGTTATTTAGTATGTGGAATAGGTTAAGAAATTATCAAACATTTTGCCCTAATATTCAAAAGTATCATTATTCTAAACTCAACAATGTGTCTAACTGCGAACTAAACCTTTGTATTGCCCTATTAAATATCCATCTCTTGACATGCCCCCAAGCAATCTAACTGAGAACCATTCCCTAAGCAGTTCTACCACATGAGGGAATTGTGAGAAGGTACTTTCAGTAAGTACTTGTGGGCAGTTTCATAGCAATTTATAAATGATTGTCCTGACAGGATTTTATGGGTTGTGCCATTAAGTTCCACAATAATATTTCAAAGATTTATTTTCTAAATTATACATTTTGGGATCCAAAACCGAATTCTTGTTTTCGTGTTGCCTTGGAAATATAATATATTATACCTTAGAGAGCGTCACATTCCATGTGTCTTTCTGCCTATCGAGAGTTTTAAGGCACGGAAAAGCAATTGGGAGTGACTAACCATATATAATAATGGATTTCTTCAGTTTTTATCCAGCAGCAAGTTGTATTTATCTAGTGATCACTGTCCATCCCCTGTATCAGCATCAGTATTATTCCTGCTATGGAACTGCTTACGACTATCACATCACCTCTTTGTTTCAATAGCTTGATAAATGGGTAAAGATAGAAACAAAATTCCAATGCATATCTTGTGTAAACTACATGCAGTTATAGCAATATAACTAGCATTGATGGTGATGACGTTTTGTTGTTTTCAGGATTACTACTGTGAATTTATTTTATACTTAATTTGGTTTGGCTGAAACATCTAGTGAGAAAGCATTCTCAGGGACTGCAGTGTTTATCAATGAACCTAACCTTTCTGCTGCAGAATACAAATACAGCCTTCATATTGAGCCTCTTCACCCTGAAAGGTCTAACTGATTTACACAGTTTTCCATCCTGCAACTCAACTGTTAACTGCTACATGCAGTTCAAGCCAATGCACTGCAATTTAACTGGCTCACCCTATATGCATGATATACTCTTGACCAGGATCAAATGTCAGCAGCTATCAGGCATTGACCTTAAACAAATACTGTAGTTAAAGATCTGACACAAAGGTATGCTTCATGTTTCAGCAGAGAGGTTTACCAGAAAACACATCTTCTTAGAAGCAGCTCATGTAGAAAAGCCACTGCAAAGACTCAGGAGTAGGGAATGCACACTCTGCAACACTGAAACATTGCCAGTGACAGTAAAGATTAGAAGTGCAACAACATTCTTTTGAATGTTTTCTCTGATTTATTTTTGTTTCACTGTGAAGCAAATAAATTGTGTTCAATTTACACAAGACGTTGGTTATACACGTTCAACCAAAGGACATCAAAGCTCTGGAATAAGAAAGAACAGATTAACATGGATAGTACCAGAGATGTGGGGTTATAGATGTGACTTGAGAATTTAACTTTTTTTTAATGGAACAGAGAAAGTTAAGAGTGGATATTAATAGAGGCTTCAAAATTCTAAAAGATTCTGAGTTGATAGAAAGTGAAAGAATATTCCTGCTGCTTGGTAAATTGGTAACAAGCTCAGGATTATCATTGAAAGAGATGAGGGATCAGTCAGAATGCTTCAAATAACAACCAGGATATTTGAACATGGAATGATTTACCACAAGTGGCTTTTTGTTTAAGGCCGAGACCATAACACCTATTTTGGTTAAATATTTGAAGAGGAGGAATATAAAAGCATATGGATAGTAAGGGTAAGAAGTAGCAATAGCACAGTTTCTTTGGATTGAATGGACTTTTATCTGTCATTTCTATGATTTTATCTGTGCTCCGCTAGGAGTTAACCTAAAAATAACAGTTCCTTTACTAACATAGTCAGTATCAAATTATCTCACCGTGGAGAATTATTGCACATTACTTTGTTGCTATGAGGCTATGTACCCACACAAGGCTTAAAGTATTTATACTACAGTGGATGCAAGTTGTACTCCCAAATCATCTCGCCCAGGAGATCTTGAGCCTGCGGTATAAATACAGTATAAACCTGTCACTGTGAGGCACACAGAAGGTGGCCTGTGGAAGCCTCTTCTTCTCAACTCACCTCCTCCATGGCTTCCACTCAGTGCCCCCTCAGCAATGCACCTAAAGTCAGACATACAGCAGCAAAAGCATTGGTTTAGGTCCCTATGGCCATCGGTCCTCAGATAAGGTGAGTACCTTACACATTACGCTGTCTGCCGTTGATCTGTTTTCAAATCCATTTTTCATTCAACAAACGGACTTAAAATAGCACCAAGTTATTTAGATGTTCAAAGTTTGTTCAGCAGATAGATGTAGGACAATGGACTGGGCCTTGGGATCTCTGAATTAAGACTGTGGATTTACAAACTGGTTAGGATGTTAGGCCCAAAGGAATAGGTTGAGGACACGAAAACCTATTTCATTCTAGCTTCTAGTCACTGTGGACCTGGATATCATATCAGCATTCAGGTTAGATTAGATTCCACAGAAATAAAAGTGCATCCTACAAAATTAATTCTTGTACAATTCAGCTTTACATAAATGGAGTGAAAGCAGAGGCACTGAGGTAACACAAGCAAAGAGATAACCCTTGGAGCAAGTCTGCTTCTCACACCTGGTGACAGTTTGATCAATCTGACTACCATACCACTTGCTAACATTATTTTTCCCCCTCATATTTATTCTCAAGTATTTTTAAATAACTTAGTCCAGGGAATGTATAGTTCGCCTTGCTTCCTCCCTCTCCTCCTTCAAGGCCGGTCTCAAAACCTTTCTCTTTGACCGAGCCTTCAGCTCCCCTCTCGACTCTCTTCCCCCTTCTCGCTCCCTCCCATCCCTCCCCTCACCCTGACCATTTCCCCCCTCCTCGCTCCCTCCCCTCCCCTCACCCTGACCATTTCCCCCCTGCTCGGGTCATGACCCAACTGTGCAGCGCCTTGGGACGTCCTCCTGACGTGAAAGGCGCTTTATAAATGGAATCTTGTTGTTGTTGTTGTTGTTATTTTAGGATTTCATACACAAATGAAGATAAAATAGAAAGAATTTTATATTACAATAATTGTTTGAGAAAATCATTGTTTTATATTTATACTAATATGGCAAGTTAACACAATATGCAATGCTATCTATAAACTTTGACAATTAACTTCATTGAGAAGAGTCGGAATACACACATGGACTTAAAAATATTAACATTTGAAAAAAGTGATCTTTATAGGTTTCTACCGAAAAAGACACAAAATTTCTTTAAAAAAATGTACACCTCACTTAAAAATCTACAATTGGCATTCCTACAATTAAATTATGAGTTGAAAAATGTGACGTAAAAAACATAAATAGAATTTTGAAGTCGAGAAACATTAGCAGGCACAGAGACATTGATGTACACTTTTCAAAGATTGTGGCTTACCTCTTCAAGGACATCAGCTAGTTTGCTAAGTATTTCCTCTGAAAGGTTTTGGAATGTTGGAACGCTAAGGATTAGAAAATGCATTTCATTATCTAAAGGAATACAGTAACATCAATGTGTAAATTAATTAGCACCATTAACCAAATAAAGTAACTATTAATGATTTTGTGCAACTGTAATATTGTTGCAAAATTAGCCAATTCTGCTTTACATATTTTAACAGAAACAACTTGCATTTATCAAAGCACCTTTAACATAGAATAATGTCTTGGAGCATTTCACAGAGGTTGAGCTAGGAGGTGGGTGGCGGGTGATGAGGAGGTGACCATAGGTGCAGTCGAAGTGATAAGTTTTCAATTGGAATTTGAAGATAGATATCCAGGAGAGGTGAGGTGGAGGGATAGAAGCAGGGAATATCAAAGGCTGATGGCCTGAAGGTTTGGCTACCAATGGTAGCACGGAGGTGCAGGGAATGTGCAGCAGACCTGTGATAGCCAGGTGTAGGGGTAACAGAGGAATGAGGGACGAGGAGATGAGAGAGATGGAGAGTGCTAGCGCATGAAGGGATATTTTAATAATTCTGAAAGTGCAATTAATTAAAATCTGCAAAAGTAATATCCTTTGTGAGCTTCCTGCTTCCATTTGAACATAAGTACGGTAACATTAGCACTTAGAACTATTAAGGGCAGTTTGTTAAGATGCTGGTTCACCCATTTCTTCCTTTAATTCAGGTCAGTGTGTTAGCCGACATGACATTACATTAGTATATGGCATAATTTCCTACGATTGCAAAATGGTTTTCTGATGTTTTAAGTACATGCTCCAAGTCAATCAGATAACATCTTTCTCTGTTGCATTTCAATGTTCCTTTGCTGTTCTACTTTCTGCTGCTAGTAGTTTGTGCCCAGTTTTACTCTTAAGAGCAATTCGAAATTATTTCCAGAAGCAAAGCAATTAGACATGAGAAGTTTGACTTGAACTTCCTCCTCTGAAATTGGTTTGGCAGTAGCTCAGGAGAGGTTTATTACTGAAACACACTCTCTTTTCCCAAAACTCTTCATGCTTCCCAACCATGTCTATCTCGCTTTTAAATGCATCAACTGAATCTGAGGTAGTGCATTCCTCATTAGAAATCTCCATATATTAAACTTGACTATCACCCAATTGATTCTCATTTATGGTGTGATGATATGCAGAATAATACTGTTTTACAAAATTTTCCAAATCAGCATTCTTTCAGCTAAGGTCTTTCTGAGAAAAATCAGAAATGTGCTAATTTGTAGTCAGTTCTGCGCTGTGATTCCACACGTACTAGGAACTAGGTTACGAATTCCCAAATGTTCTTGCACTACATGAGCTCAAACACAGGTCATAGAAGTGAAAGTATAATGTGCTTACCTACTACTGCTCAGTGTATCTGCTACTTATGTAAGCTTTGATATTCGATGAGTTGTTGAGCTGTTTAACTATAATTCTATAACTTTTCAACCTTCATGTGTATAGCAATCCACCCATTATAAAACATCCATCTTTCCTAGGAATAAGATTTGTCAAACACAAAGGATGACTTGTGCGGCACAATTTAGACAGAAAAGTGGGTCATTCAGGAAAGCAGGAGATATACAGTCATGCCTTTCAAGTTGCATAAGCAATATAAAGCTATTGAAAGATACAGAAAAGATTAGCTTATTGAAAGCTCCATAAGTGTTGCGAAGATCTTTGCTTGCATCAAATATTTACAATACAGTAATATCAATGTAAATGACACAAATATATACATTTCCTATAGCCATTGGTCTCAGATGTTAGGAACCATAGGTGGTGCTGTTTGCTAATTCCAACCTTAAATTAGTTGAATTTTAAAAGCCTGCCCCCTACCATAACAGGCAGATCAAATCGGATTGTTTTGAAGTGAAGTGAGTCTTGTGGTAGGAAATTTAGATTAAAAACAAATTTGCATATTTACTTTGTTCAAGCACAAAGAATAATTCCCTTCATTAAAAGCAGTCATTGCATCATTTTACTGATAAGAGATTTGTTTTCACAAGCAACGTTTCTCAGATGATAAAGAGCACTGTTGCAGTTGATTTGAGGAACAAAGTTCCTGGAGCCTGTCATTTAGCTAAACTAGAAATGGTTTAATCTAGGCTATATTGCTTCTCCTGATGCCAAAATGGGTAAATACGTTATACGGTAAAGTTAGTACTGAGCAATCCAAATTACTAAGGACCCAGTTTCGATCACCAAGTCTTATCACAATTGGGGATGCTAAAAGTAACTTCAATGTTCCCAGGGTAGGAAAGGCAAGCTGATTTGGTCTAAGTTCCCTATTCTGATCAATATCAGGGCTAAAGTTTAAGTAACGGCTTAGAGTGCAGTTCAGTTCCAGTACTTAAATTATTCTATCAGCAGTATCAGAAGACTTTGTTCTCGAATTGCACCAATGAAATTCTCGTACAATACCGTCATTAGGTTTAACAACTTGATAACATAAATCAAATGGTAAATCCAGCAAAATTTGACCTGCCAGACACTGTGGTCTGGCCTTGTCAAAACACCTGTAAATATAGGAGCACTAAAACTACTGATTCCATTAGCTATTCCCCACATAGAGAATTCTTGATACTGGGTATTTTATTGGAAGTACTTGAAGACTATTTATGTCTGCAAGTACTTCATGGAAATAGTAGTGAGACACGCAGAGAAACAGAGAGAAGTTATATTAAAAAGCAAGGCAACGTGGGCAACTTTCACTCATCGATTGAGTAAAATACTTGAAGTAAGTTGAAATGTGTGAACAACAACTGTATTTATATAGCACCTTTCATGCAGTATGTTGTTGTTAAAATACATAAGGAGAAAATAATACCAGTATTTGATCTGGTGCCACATTATGTCCAAAATGTCTCAAACTGCTGCTGTACAAATTGTGGGTTGTTTGGGAAATGCCAAATTTTGATCGACTATGTATTACTTTCATAACTATTCAACGACTTTGACTTTGTTTACAGCAGAGCATCTCAATTTTTATTATAATAAAACCAATTCTTGACAACAAGAGCGAGTTTAGGGATTACAGACAGAGTCTGTGAAATCTTATGAAATGCTTCATTTAGTTTTGATGGAAATAATTTCAAATGAACTTTGCCAATGCCCTGAGTCAATTTCTCTGGCATTGAAGAACACTGGAAAAGGTTATTTTTACTCATACATTTTGAAACTAAAACCATCAATTTGATGAAATACTTTTGAGAAGCTTTAATTGAGTCTACTGAACAACAACTTGCATTTATACAGCGTCGCTCACTCGAAGCTAATGTCTCAGAGCGCTTGAATGAGTCAGAAAAAGAGATTGCGAAAGATGTAGGTCAAGGGCCAAGATATCTTTGAAGCCTAAATGTCCATTTCAGAGTTTTGCCTCTGCTTAATCCCACTGAGTTCTACCAGGCAGATCCCCAAATCTTTCGAGATCAAGTTTCCACTGAAATTAATTGAATGTTGTCAAAAATTGCCTGAGAATGAAGCATTGGGACATGGGTAAGATTCACAATTGAAATGCATCAAGGACTGCTTCCTTCACCCACCGAAGATAGATTACTTCTCAAATATTTAGCAACCCTATACTATCAATTAAATTTTCTTAGTTAATTACCAGAGATGTTAACTGAACTAAATTCAAAAGCCAAGGTAACGAAAGTTAAACAACGTCAGGTTAATTCAGCATCGGATCTTCTGGTTTGGTTTCATAAGTATAAATTTTCGAATCTTTGAAGCTAGAAAATGAGACCAAATCTCATAGAACTTGTACTCCTTGTATTCATTAAATGCAGCAGAACCACTTGAATAGTTTATTGGGTGTACTGTTTTATTCATTCCCATGCCCTATTTATCACCTCATTTCATTCTCTTTTCCAGACTCTTTCTTTTGACTGATGTTCATTCCAGGAACATTTTGCCAAAATAAACAAAGAGGATGTTTCCTCATCTTTCTTTTGTTTATTTGCTTTTTATATGCAGATTTGCACCAAATTTGAAAATAAATGTTTTTTGGTACACAGCTTACTTATACTTGGGCACTTGATAGTTCAGTTTGAATAAAGAATAAAGGAGACCCTTGCTTATATGGCATGGAGCACAAGAAAGGGAAGTAATATAATATTACAGCTCTGAAACAGAGCATTCAGCCCTGTCTGTGTTGGCAATACATTGTGCTCTTAAAAGGATAGGCATTTTAAAAAAAAAGATTTCCATTGAAGGGGCATGTGTGAGTTACTGAGTATGGAGAACAAATGAACACAAAAAACAAATTCAATTAAAAAAATTATTCTCAGATATATGAAAAATAAAAACTTGAAGTGGTATTGAGATCGGCTATGGTAGTGGGATTGAATAAACAGCTTGCACTGAAAACTGGTGCAGACTCGATGGGCCAATTGACCTCCTTCTGCATTGGAAATGCCTATGATTTGTATGCCTTTTAAAATTAGAATTCAATTTCATACGCCTAATCTTTTCTTCTTGTTCACTTCCTTTGCTCAACTTCTGCAGTGGACGTAATCATTTGCGTAAAGTTCAACAGTGATCTAACATTTAAATGCTGCTCAAAGACAATTGAGTTCTCACACACTGCTGAAATCAGTAAGCACCCGAGAGTTGGTTCATTTTGCTCATTAGCATTCAGCATTGAACAGACAGCAGTAGGAAGGGGAAACAAATTATTGAAAAATATTTAAATAATTTCATTTTAAAAGAAGAGCTGATGGCAAGACACTTTTTGTAACTGCTCATCTTTACAGACTTTACAATCTTACACATTGACACAATTTATAGTCAAGTTGATTTCAAGACATACACAGTCTTAAAGTACTTCATAAGATTAAATATTTTTGTAAATTTGTGGTGAGGTAATATTAACAGTCTTTAGCTACAGTACTGCAGTAATCTTTTGGCTTTCATGGAATATTCTATGAAATATTCTTTTCGACTTCAAGATCCTCACACTCGTGTTCAAATCTCTGGCACTTCCCTACCTCTCCGACCTCCTCACTTCACAATCCACCACCTGGCGCCTCCGCTCGACTGGCACTGGCCTTCTGCTTCCACATGTATGTGGATGACACCCAACTCTACCTTTCCTCCTCTACCCTCAACTCCACGACCACCAATGTCCTGACAGCTGCCTGTCTGACATCGAGTCCTGGATGAGAGACAACTTTCTTCAGCTCAACGTGCGTAAAACTGAGGCCCTCCTGATTGGCTCGCGTCAGCGCCTCCGCACCTCAGGCGCTGACACCATCAGCATCCAAGGCTGCACTCTCCACCTCTCAAAGCCAGTCAGGAACCTCGGTGTTCTGTTCGACCCTGAGCTGTCCTTTCTTCCTCATATCCGCGCCACAACTGGCACCGCCTTCCATCACCTCCGAAATATCACCAGACTATGGCACTACCTCACCCCTTACGCTGCTGAAACTCTGGTCCACGCCTTTATCAGCTCAAGGCTGGACTATGGGAACTCTCTCCTCGCCGGCCTTCCCAGCACCTCCCTCCACACTGCAGGTCATTCAGAACTCTGCAGCTTGTGTACTATGCCGCACCAGGCATCGCGACCACATCACTCCCACCCTCGCTCGCCTCCACTGGCTCCCCATCCCCCAGAGGATCGAATTCAAGATCCTCATCCTCACCTACAAGGCCATTCACGGCCTTGCTCCCTCCTACCTCTCCGACCTACTATCCCCTTACTTACCTGCCCGTACCCTCCGTTCCTCTGGCTCCGGTCTGCTCCACATCCCCCGCCCCAACCGCCCTACCATCAGTGGCTGGGCCTTCAGCCTCTCAGCCCCTAGGCTCTCGAACTCCATCCCCCAGTGCCTTCGCCTTGCTTCCTTCCTTTCCTCCTTCAAGGCCGGTCTCAAGACCTTTCTCTTTGATCGTGCCTTCAGCTCCCCTCTCGACTCTCTACCCCCTCCTCGCTCCCTCCCTCCCCTCCCCTCACCCTGACCATTTCCCCCCTGCTCGGGTCCTGACCCAACTGTCCAGCGCCTTGGGACGTCCTCCCGACGTGAAAGGCGCTCTATAAATGGAATTTTGTTGTTGTTGTTGTTGTTGCTAGTCCCTCACACCCTCCTTCCTACCATCGGTGGTCGTGTTTTCAGTCGCTGCGCCCCAAAACTCAGGAACGCTCTCCCCCAATCCCTCTGCCTTGACCCCTCTCTCCCTGTTTCAAGTCCTACCTGAAAACCTTTCTCGGAGTCAGGCACTGCCACTGTTAAAGTGCTCTGAGATGCTACCCTGCATGGAGGGCGCTACATAAGTGCAAGTTGTTTTTGTATATTTATATGAAACAGTCAAAGTCTGTTTAAAACATCATGGGATTTTTGAATCGTTATCTCAGGGTTCTTTGTAACTCCTAATTTATTCTCAAATGTTTATTTTCCTTCATACTTTAACAAGTGTTAAATGCCAGCTTTTAATTGATTGGTGTCAATTTTTGTCAATTAATTTCTTATTTGATAAAAGCGTGATTACAACATCACAAACGCTGAAATTGATCCTCTTCATGATGAGAAACACATTAATCACAGTAATTAGAGAGGAAACGTCCATGGTTACAATTTTTATAATCAGGCAAACTTTTCCTTTTTTTGCTCCCCAAATAGACATTTGGAGTGTCAAAACAATCTTTTGCAACCATAAACCTTGATGTCAATTAGCATCACTCATTATTAAATTAGGAAAACAGTCACAATTTAACACGTTGTGTTTCTGTGGAGAAGCGCACGAGCAGTTGGAGCTAGTAAAGAAACAAGCTATATAATAATTTTTTTTTAACGTTTTTGAAAACAGCGTGGGAGTAAAATGACTTTAACATGGTTCAAATATAGAGTAAAAGCACTGCACAAAGCAAACTAACCTCTTTAGGAAGTCCATATACTCCGAATGCTTGATTAGTCCTGTCCTCATCATTATTGTCTGGAAACATTGTCGATCAATAGCCCACAGTTTTACATTTGTAAGAGCTGCCAAACCACAAAGAAAAAACAATTAATTCACAAGTGAAAAATATAATTTTTCTTTTTTAAACAAAGTTATAAATCTGTCAAAAAGGCAGCATGAATTCAGCCCCAGTAAGAAAAGGAATGGGGGAGGGAGAATTTTCAGGTCTGAAAAATACATGCTTAATCATCGACCAGAAAGATCAGAATTCCAACAGTACCGAACGAACATCAGTGCATAACCAATGAAAGTTGCAATTTTCCACCACGAACGTGTTAGGACAACAATCTCCAAAACCTTCTTGGCAAAGTCATTGGATACCAATTGAGCTTGGAAATCTATAGTTTTCTGCTAACTCTAAGGTTTGGCCTCTAAGGCCAAGCCACTGTTTAGCTACAAGGGTATTTAGTAATGGTCTGAGTAGGAGTGAAGTGTATAACTTGTATGCATAGAACTGAAGCTTTCATTGGCTGTAAAGAGAATTTTGTATTAGATAATACCAGGTGCTACAGCTACAGCTGCTGGTGTGTTCACCGAGGAGAAGAGGAACAAGGGCACTATCACACATAAGCAGAAGACTCCACTAGAGACTGTCACCAGTTGTTCTTCTGTGACCCGCAACAATCATGGCGGTGGTTTTATGGATGACTGATGGAAATATTCATGTCTACCAGATTAGGAGCAAGTGCAACTCAGCAATATTTTTTTCACTTTATTTTTCCAGGAGGTTTAAAACGATATAAGATACAGAAAAAGCACGCTAAAAAATTAGAAAAAGGCAGTTAACACAAAAGAGACATGACATTAACCTCACTCTGCCATCACTGAAATACTGTAGTGTAGAACCTTATCTATATTTTCACATCTTAAGTACAGCCACTCTTTCTATTTTGTTCAGATTTCAAAATTGTTAAATCCTGCCGATAACTAAACACTTCCAAACTAATGGCTGTTCAAGGTTGCTTCAAAAAAACATTTACGTCAAAAATTGCAACTTGAAAAACATTTGCGATCAAGATAATGTAACAATTAGTATTATAGAAAATATAATTTGGTTTTAAAATTCAACCTTGAAGATCTGCAGAAAGGCTGCAGTTTCACTGAAGCCTTCGAAAATGTAATTATGAAAACAATTTGCCGTTGGATTTGTTAATTCCAAAATGCTTGTAACTTTTTGTTGCAATTGAAGTTTTGTAAGACTACCTGGGTCCTCTTCTATAGTTCTAATAGTTCTAAAAATAGCATTACACAATCCTTTGGAGAATTTAAAGGAAGCTGTCAAATCATAGTATTGTTAATTTTTTAATGGAGATTTGATATGAAGCAAATGGATATCTAATATAACTGTGACCAGATTTCCAGTCACTAAACCATCCTGTAATGAAATATACCATTTAATGGCTGTACATCCAGAGCATAATGAACTTTTCTGTATATTGTCCGTTTTCCTCTTGATACCTTGTTAATTCATACAGGGAAAAGAAAACCATATTAAGCTTACATTGTCAAAGTCAGCATACTTTGTGGAAGAGGAATTTCACATCATCATCATTTTTGGTTTAGACTATTAAGACTTATTAATATACTTGAGCAGAGAGTAATGACGACTACTAGTTTGGTGTTGTCTTGGTGTCTATCTTATGCTCTCAATTTTTCATCTTTATCTTTAGTTGTACCTGGCTTTGCTTCACTCCTACTGATCTGCCATTGTGAAAAATTTATAAGATTGTCCATCTTTCAACCACTTTTTATTGTTTACTATTTACTACTGTGTAACAACATTGGCTGCTACATGAGAAAAGGTCATCTAAAAATCAAACTGTGGTTAACTGAGATTATTCTCCTCTGGATGGGAAATTTACCAATGATGTTCATGTAATGAAAAACCTTGTTATAATTTGACACCAAAAATGTACCACCAGAAGAGAATAACCCCCATAGTTATCATTCACAAATGTTAAGATTTGACTTTGTTATTCTTAAATGATCATCGTCCCATTTGAAAATGTACTGAATTCTGAAGTATATCTGTTTTTGTAGGAAACTAAGGAAAACGTCACTGGATTATTTATAGGGATTATCAACAACATCTCATGTTAATCAGGCTATTGAAATTCCCTCACCCTTTAACACTTCAATGCAAAATTCATTGCCAGAATGAATCATTTCAGCCTGAGGGAACTGCAACCTTTGAGTTCAATTGATATTTGCAGTTTATTCCATGATAACAGGAATAACAGTCTTTAACTTTGTTTCTTTGGTACCTTTAATGAAGAGTTAACCCCACTCATCAATCTTGCAAAAAGCAATCGTTCCAACTATTTATTCGATACTCAATACTTTTGTATGGTTCAGTTAAGGACTCTGTTATGTGCATTGCTAATGGTCTGTTGCTGCAAGTACTTGTGGGAGCCTGGATCATGCACTAAAACCAAGAGATTACAAGGATTTTTTTTAACACAGATAGTTGTTCGAATGTAGAATACCCACTATGTGTACTGATCAAGGCAACTAGATCGATATATAAAAAGGATTCTTTGCAGGAGTTGTTCATTGTTTCCTTACATTGTTTTGACACAGTGGGCAGCAACTCATCTAAAACACTAGATTTCTTTCAACTTTCCGCTTGCCAAATTCAATCCCATTCATGGAATATTGTTTTAAAATGCTTTAAATTAGGTCAAATATTCTCTGTTACTGTGTCTGTCTGTGTCTGTGGGGAGGTGAGGGGGGCAGGGGGAAGAAAAGCGTGAAATTGGTTACAAGATTAAAAGATTAAACCTTCAGTGAAGCTGTTCACCGCTATGGTATATCCTCTGAACTTAAATGCAATTCAGAATTCATTGAAATTAGCTCCAGTTAATGAGTTGCTGGTATAAGGTAGATAAGAAGGTTCACTTCTTTGGAATGTAATATTTTGCATTCATTGTAAGAGCTCTTTTGACTGGATACCTTAGCATAATACTCCCAAAAGTCAATCTTACTAATCTGAATATGAAAACTATTTATCTTAATATTTTACCAAAATGGAGTGCTCTCTTAAGGTACTGATAGACTGTGCTCGAGGGAGTTAATCTTTTTGAAGCAGATAAAACCAAGGTTAAGTGCTGCAGGCCAAGAGCATCAGGTGTTTTCTATCCGGAAAACGTGTTATCAGAGTAACATCGAATACATGAGTCTCAACTATTTCCAGGATTCTTCCTGTATTTACCTCAAGTACTACTCACAAACTCATTCACTTTTCACACGAGTTGAAAATAACTTGGCAGACAATAAGCCACACGTGTGCAGTGTTTTATTCCTGATTTAGGCCAACGTTGATGGGAAATGTTCTGAGGGGTTGAATATGCATTCTTTGAATATACAATTACCTGAAAGATTTCACATGACGTTGTCAGGAAGAATGCTGAAGCTGTGTGTGACCACTGAAATAGAATTTCTTTCACAGTCGTATATCGTTAGACCAAATATCACCAGTGCTGGGTTTCCTGCAAACTGAACACGGTTCACAAACATACAGCCATTCTTTGTCTTAAAACACACATGGTTCAAAGGCAAGTTGTGTCTTTTTATCCAAAAGACCTGGAGTAGTTCCAATCAAGAACAAAATAATCTTCATTTTAGTCCTCTATGTCCTCTATGATAATTATAGTAATTTTTCACATACAAAATTTGAAAAATGTTATACTAAAATGGGTTTGAAATGCAGGTTAGGTACTTGTTATATCCCAAAATAATGATGGGAGTGTTTTTTTAAATGTTCATCTTCAAGATAATAGATTTGAACCTGGTGAATGGAGAAAAATAATAGTTATCAGGCTAGACCTTTAGAATTTTAATTTGCTGAATTTTCCAGCTACAGAAGTGAGCATCTAATCCTCTCTCCAGTAAAGCCAGAGTAGCCACACGGTAGCCCTGAAATATCAACTATTGACCTACTACAGAGCCTATAATGGCCATCAGTCTGTCCAGTAAAATGACATCTACATCAAATCTACATCAAATAATTGCTACAGGAGAAGGTAATACATTCTACTCCAATGCTTCATTAATGGTGATTAAAGGATGTCAAGAATATAAGACAACCAAATCCTTGCAATAAATACAAGACAATCCAACCCTTGCTTTGTATCCTTCAAGCTTTTGTCAAAAATAAATTTTGGCATTAAGGGAAAATTATTAACTAATTGAAACAAGAAGAATGCAACCTTCCCTTGCCCCCCCATCCCCCTCCAAAACATACAGCCGTGTAAAATGTCACCCTACATCAAGGAGAATGAAATGATTGGTTTTGTAAGTTACTGTAACATTTAGATCCATGTACAGTATAACAAATGGACTCAATTAACCAGGTAGGCTTGATAGTAAATGGGGTATCCTGCTGAGCTGAAAGGCACTATCAATATGTAATTTGTTGTTGTTATATTGATACTGAAAGCCAGTTACAGGTAATTTGCCTTGCAAATCATGGATGCTGGTGGGACTTTGCTGGCATAATTGGCTGCTGTGTTTACCATTGTCTAATGATAATTCATAAGGTCTTTCAGATGTTTTGAGGTGATATCACGCAAAAGAAATGCAAGTTCTTTATACTTAATTGATTGCCTTTTAGCATTTAAATGGAAAATCATAATTAGGCAGCAAATGCTGTAATGCAATAAGTTAATCTGATACACCAACATGTATAATAATAATAATCCTTGCATTTGATATAGCGCTTTTCACATCTTCTAGACGTCTTAAAGCGCTTCACAGAATTGACTGTAAAGTGAACTGACTGCATATTTTGTGGGCGAAATGCAGCAGCCAATTGCGCACAGCAGTGTCCAACAAACAGTCGTGGATTGAAATGACCAGTTTATTATTGTTTTTTTTTGAGGGATCATTATCAGGCGTGTGGAATAAGGAAACTTGCCCAAGGTTTCACCCTGCCGGGAATCGAACCCAGGTCTCTCACTTGCAAAGCGAGCGCTCTAACCACTGAGCTACAGGACTCCACTGTATGTACATGTTCAACACCCAG